AGCAAGAGCAGAGACCACGTCTCTACTATAATAGAAAGAAATTAATTGGCCAACTGATATATATAGAAAAAATTAGCCGGGCATGGTGGCGCATGCCTGTAGTCCAGCTACTCGGGAGGCTGAGGCAGAAGGATTCTGAGCCCAGGAGTTGAGGTTGCTGTGAGCTAGGCTGACGCCACGGCACTCACTCTAGCCTGGGACAACAAAGCGAGACTCTGTCTCAAAAAAAAAAAAAAAACATGTTAGTTTATGGAGGGTAATCTTTGGAAAGAAAGTGGATTGTAGCTTTTTCATTTTATGCTGTTACATACCAATTTAAAAATATGTGCCCCCTTCTTTGAATTTTAAAAAGATATAAAATTGCCCCTGAAATCTGCTTTCTTCTTAATCCCAGTTTGGCCAAGGCTCTGCAGAGTTTGACTTGGCCTTAAGAGGAAAGAAGAAAAGGAAAAAGTTTATGAGGATGCAAAAAAGGGGGAGATGACGTGAGTCATCTCCTTTGGAATTTGGGCTCACCCAGTGGGGAGGGTCGGAGTTGCTTGGTCTGTTCCTCACTCACAGCTCCCCCGCTTCCTACCAGGCGGAGGAAAGGTCCCAGTTGAAATTCTCAAGGCGCAGATGTTTTGCTTGAGCGACTAGCCAAGAGGAATCGCAGAGCCAGCGGGCCCGAGCGATGCCGAGGAGGAGCCAGCAGGAGGCCTGTAGGTTGATGGGAGCCCTGGGCGAGCTAGTAGGGAGGTCTTCCTGAACCTGTGCTTATGGTCCAGGGACAAATTTCAGGGATGAAGAAATTGCCACATTTTTTAATTAGTAATGTAACAGTATGTATAGCTGTCTCTTTATTGGCTCAGAGGATAGGGTGACCCTGTGATTGGTTGGGTGGGGGACCTAGGATGTTGACTCTGGCCTTTTCTGACTCTAGAGCTAAGTCCCTCACTAACTGCTACTTAGAGAACCAGTGGAAGGTAGAATGAAGTGCAGTCCTTTGGATGCCAGAATATCTACCGAATATGGAATCATCACGCGCTGAGCTTAAGGGATTTAGGAGCTTGCCAAAGAGGATCATATTTAACCCATACTCTCTGTGCACACCAAGAAGCAAAAGCAGAGGAAGAAATCTGTGATTTGATGAAGAACTCACCAACACAAGCAAGAAGGCCCTGAAACAGTATCGAGCTGGGTAGGATTTTAAGTCATCCACAAATTCTTGATGTTCTTGATGGAAGCTAAAGTCTTCTCTCTTCTTCCCCATCCCAATTCTCACATACCAATAGCTTTATAATATATAAATTCAAGGGCACCTGTCTGTCCTCGCAACTACCTCCCCCTGCAGCCCATCTGGACCCCAAGGTGAGAACAGGAGAGGAGCCTGTAAGGTACTGCCTATTCCTGCCTTGGAGGTGAAATAGCACCATTTTGGGGTTTTAGAATATTTTCCTTCAGGGAGTGATTAACTCCCTACATCTGAAGGTCAAGTCCTGGGACTCCCCAAGATCGTGGCTTTGTTCTTGGGAATGTGATGTTCCTGCCCCATCCCCAGGGGTGGGGACAGACTCATTTCAAGTAGTCTTATTATACACATGAGAAGGGCCTCTTTCACCTTGTTTTAAAGCTGAGCCCAACTTCCAGCAACTCATGTTATCAGGTGGAAACACATAAGGCTTAGAACTCAGGTCCCGGAAATGCTGCATCCCAGTGACGCTGCTGCTTCATGCTGGGAGCCTGGGTTGGGGTGGGGTGAGACACATTCATTCGTCCAACGAGCTTGCTCATTTCAGCCAATTTTTTTTTTTTTTTTTTTTTTTTTTTTTTTTTTTTTTTCATCTTCTCTCACCACCAGCCCCTTCTTTGAGGAAAGGGAAACAGTTTGGGCTTGCCCCACAGAGACGAGAGGAAACTTTAAATCTAAATCCAGGGTTATGTGGCAGTTTTTTCGAGGGAGCCAGAGGTTGTGACTGGGAATTAGAGAAGAAAATTTTCAGTGGAAAGAAGAGCTTTCTTTCCTCTTTCTGGTCTTAACTCCTGCCTGATTTTGTTGATAGATACAAAGAGGAGGAAGTAGGCCAAGGATGCTGAAGAAGTTCGAGGGGCAAGCCCTTAAATCCCCTTCCCTGTGGAAGTCACCTGGCTTGGTCTGTCTTTTCTCCGTTTTGTTAAGAAAAAAATTTTAAGGCTGTTATTTGTGCATTAAAAAAATAGTTGGGAATGGGTGATGGTATGTAGCTGTTTCCTGTAACATGTCTATCATCAGCCAAGGTCTTCTTGCTAATAGCTTCATATAACTGATATACCAATGGAAGCTGGTATATTTTTTTTGCGGAGCAGGAAAAAACAATCTAATTATGTATCTCTTACTGTCTCTTCTCAGTGACAAGGTCTTCCCCCCAGTCTGCTAGCTTGGCACTGCACATACAGTCGGCAATGCAATAACCTTTCATGACTGTAGAGGGGCTGGGTGTTGGATGAGGGAAATTCATTGTTAAAGGTCTTTTCCAGTGGGCAACATAAGTGAGACCCTCATTCTCTTAAGAACAAAAACACAAACAAAAATTCTCTTCTGTTGATGTTTGCAGAACTAAGAGCTATCATCTTACCAATCACCACCGTTGCCAGACATTCTGTGGCTAAGCAGTGTCTCATCAGACTCACTGTACCCCTTTGTGGCGTGTGTTATCCGCCATTTTTCCACTAAAGAGGAGGCTTGGAAAGACAGATGTTGCACAATGGGAATTCAGTTTTTTGAAAGCTATCATGCTTACTTGAACCTACACGCTGAGTCTTACCCGTTATCTGTTGGAAGTGCTGCCGGAGAACACGGAAGCTCAGAACAGGAGCCCTGACTCCATACAATTAGCCTTGCTTGTAAAAACCTGCTTTACCCCTGTAGAATGGTGATGCCTCATCCTTTTCTGGTTCACAGTCCCTTTGAAAATTAGCTGAAGCTATGGAGCACGCCTTGAAAACTGTGTTCATGTTATGTATAATCAGGGTATACATAGACTCTACCCTTGCAGCTTAAAAATTATCAATAGGTATCCGGTAGCACATGACTAGACACTAAAGAGTGTGTCCCACGCTATTCATTCAACATGTACTCCCAGCTATCAAATTGGTACTAATTAATCAATAATTAATGCACATAAGGAAGTAACATTCATCCGAGTGTGGGGCAGGTGGGAGAGGTAGGAGGGTATAGGTAAATTCACACCTAATGGGTTGTGGTCCGCACTTCTGGCATGGCAGTTGGGTGTAGCTCCTACTTGGGCATGCAAAGGCAACATGTGTAAAATAAACCTTTGTACCCCTGTAATATTCTGAAAAAACAACAACAGTGCTTTTTGAAGTCATGAAAAAATTTTAAAAAACAAAACAAAACAAAGCTATTTTTATTCAGGCTGCACCAACAGAGGGTCCCAATTCAGATAATAGCACAACTGGATGATCAGAGTACAGTTTCAGACTTAATGTCTTTATGCACTTTATAGAAAGTAGGCCATTAGGCTAAAACCAGTGCAGAACGCTAATTTTTTCTATATATATTAGTTGGCCAATTAATTTCTTTCTATTTATAGTAGAGATGGGGTCTTGCTCTTGCTCAGGCTGGTTTTGAACTCTTGATCTCGAGCAATCCGGCCGCTTCGGCCTCCCAGAGAGCTCGGATTACTGGCGTGAGCCACCGTGCCCAGCCGCCATCGTGTTTTGTTTTCTCACTTAGCACAATTGCAATTTCATAATCTGACTATTCCATTGTGTTGGAATATCCATGAGGGTGGGGCCTTTGTCAGTCTTGTTCTCTGCTGTTCCCTCTGTATCTGGCATGCGGCCTGGCAGGTGGCAGGTATTGGGTTAACGCTGGTGAGTGACAGACCTGGCTCTCTGCAGGTGGCCTGGACGTGAAGTCTCAAGAAGCAGCTCTTCGGGCCGCGCCGGACATCCTCATCGCCACCCCAGGTCGGCTTATCGATCACCTCCACAACTGCCCTTCCTTCCACCTTAGCAGCATCGAGGTGCTCATCCTGGACGAGGCTGACAGGTACACAGCACATGGCGGGGCCCCAGGCACTCTGGGATCCCAATGCCCGTGTCTGGAGTGTGGCCCTGCCGCCCGGAGTTATTCTTCGTGGTGCTCGGCCATTGCCTTTGGTGTGTGATGCCAGTTCCACTGCTCACACTGGGGCCTCTGTCCTGCCTTAGCCCGTGTTTTCCTGTGTGTGTCTCTCTCTTTCTGTAATATGATGGCTAAGAGGTAAGTGGGTCAAATGCCAGCTTTGCCACTTCCCAAGATTTGGAAACATTGTTTAGATTACCAAAGCAAATTATTTGGCATTTGTAAATGGGGGATAAGAATAGTACCTGCCCCATGGTGCTGAGGGTCCCAGGAGTAATGCAGGGTACAGGCAATGAGACTTCTGCAGGTGGCCTCTGGGACTGTGGGGCTAGGGGTGGGGAACTCCCTCTTTGCCCCACACGCCTCCTCTCTCCCTCCCACTCCTGCATCCCGTATCCTCGCATCTGCTCACCTCTTTCCTGCATGACTGAATAGAATGGACTCCTCGAGAACCAGACCGATAATGGGGGCAGGGGCAGGGCAAGGCGGTCACAAACAGCCCCAGAGCATGGGAGGTTCACTCAGATTGAAGCACCTCAGGGCTCAGCAGGTCCTTAAACAAGCATCAGATCCCGAATACCCTCCGCCTTGCCCCAGCCTCAGGGAATGGCTGCTCCATCCTGCCAGCTGTTCAGGCAGAATTCCCGGCATCTCGTCTCATTTTCACACCTCGGCACACCCGTTGGTAAAGCTCGTCTGCATGCCCCCACTTTGGGGAGCAGCCTCCTTCATGTTGTCACTTCATTAGGGGCCTTTGCTGCCCACTCTGCGGTTCCTGTCCTGCCTTGCTCCTCCTCTCCTGCCCGCATCCTCTGGTGGCTGGGACTCTCTGACTTACTGCATTGCCACCGAGGCATTGTGTGGCGTTTGTGTTCCTCCTCTCCCCTGGGACACAGTGTTCCTGAAGGGGATGTGGCCGTACCCCACACCTAGGGCCGGGGCTAGTGTACAGCAGGTGCTCAGTGAGTATTTGCCGAGCACCGATTGGCTGCTGCCCCAGAACAAACGAAGCATTCCTGAGGCCTAAAGGAGGTGAAGGGGACCAGTTGAAGCCAAGGGGACATGATCTGACTTAGATTTTAAAGGAGAAGATTTAAAGGGGAAACTATTAAAAGATGTCAGTGTCTTGAAAGAACAAGGGAGGCTGAGGCAGGGTTTGAGATTAAGGAGACTAAGGAGACGGGACAGCTCCATGCCAGACCTGGCCCTAGACCAGACCCTGTAGAGGAGGGGAAGTGCCGCAATCAAAGTAATCTCATAGGTGGGAGGATCGCTCAAAGTCCGGAGTTCAAAACCAGCCTGAGCAAGAGTGAGACACCATTTTTCCTAAAAATAGAAAGAAATTAATTTGCCAACTAAAAATTTATAGAAAAAATTAGCTGGGCATGGTGGCGCATGCCTGTAGTCCCAGCTACTCGGGAGGCTGAGGCAGGAGGATTTCTTGAGTCCAGGAGTTTGAAGTTGCTGTGAGCTAGGCTGATGCCACAGTAGTCTAGCCCGGGCAACAGAGTGAGACTCTGTCTCAAAAAAGAAAAACAAAAACAAGGTAATTGCATAGATTATTATTATCTACAAAGAGAAGAAGGTCCCTCTGGCAGACACCGCCACATCCAGGTTAGCAAATGCATAGCGCGGTTCGCAACAGGCTGGCCACCGCTGCCTCCAAATGCGGTGGACACGAGGGCACAGCTGTGCCCAGGAGCGTTCTCCTGACGACGACGGTGTCTCTGTGTCAGTGACCAGGAGGATACAGTTAGACAAATCCAGAGTGTGAAAAGGGTGAGGGGACGTTTCTCCGTGAAGGGAGGCTAAAGAGCTGTGGCAGCTAAGTGCGAGAACTTTGGTCCTTGGACGAAAACAAAAGACAGTTATAAAATGACACTTTTGGGACAGTCGAAATGTGAATGTGGCCCATACTTTAGATATCATTCAAACACCTAAATGTTTGTGTTGAGTGTGATGACGACATTGTCATATAGGAGAAGGTCATTGTCCTTAGGAGTTGTGAGATGAGTCCTGAGCACAACCAGTGACAGTCGGGAGCCTGTGTGCTGTTCCATGTCCCTCACCGTGACAGAAGAGCACCCCAGCCCTTTCTGACATGTCCCTTCTCTCGCTGCTTCCAGGATGCTGGACGAGTACTTTGAGGAGCAGATGAAGGAGATCATCCGAATGTGCTCCCACCATCGCCAGACCATGCTCTTCTCGGCCACCATGACGGACGAGGTGGGCCAGGGGGCTTCTCCGTGGTGGGTGGCAGGCATGCTCGGGCTTGAGGGGGCTGCCCGGGGTGCGCGCTGCTGCTCCCTCCTTCCCCGGCTCTGCTGAGAGCCGAGCAAACCTGCTTTGTGCTTGGCAGGTGAAAGACCTGGCTTCGGTCTCCTTGAAGAATCCCGTCAGGATATTTGTGAACAGCAACACCGACGTGGCTCCCTTCCTGCGGCAGGAGTTTGTCCGGATCCGGCCTAATCGGGAAGGGGACCGAGAAGCCATCGTGGCAGGTGGCAGCCCAGGGTGGGACCAGGCAGGGTGGGCTGGTGGTGTCCACACTGACGTGTTTGGCTTTTACCTGAGTTCCACATGCAGTCCCCCTGTACCGCTGGTCCTCCACTGCGTCCTTCTTCCCTGAGCCTCCCTCTTCTCCACTCCCTCGCCTGTCTTCGTGTCCCGCCCAACTCCCACGCCAGCTGCCGCGTGTCGTCTAGGTCATGGTGCAGCCTCTGGCCGGCTCTCTGTGACTCTCCACATTGGGGACCACCAAAGATGATCGCCCACAAGGGAACATTCGCTCTCCTTACATTCTTATTTGAACACCCTGCAGTGACTTCCGTTGCTCACAGGCTAAAATCCCTCGTGAGCCCTGCAGGACCCTCTGGGACCAGGCCCTCGCCTGCCTGGGGTCACCAGCTGTGCAGGCTGCTCCTGGCTGCAGCCACGTGTCTGCCAGCGCTTTCTCACGCCAAGCTTGTTCCCACCTCTGGGCCTTTACATTTGCTCTTTTGTCTGCCTGGAACCCTGCCCCAGTCCTGTGGATGACCTGCTTTGTCATTCAACCTGATGTCGCCTCTTCAGAGGGGCCAGCTCTAAAGCCACCTTCCCCACCCTCCCTTCACTCTCTCTTGACGTGTATCACCCTTGGGAATTGGCTTCTCTGTCTCCGCCCTGAAATGTGAACTCCATGGGTCAGGGATGGTGGCCGACACCCCCAGCGCCAGGCATAGCGGCGAGCGTTGGATGAAGAAGGGGTACTTGTAGAATAAGAACCAAGAACTGGCTGCTGGCTCACTCTTCTCTCTCTGCCAGCTCTGTTGACGAGAACCTTCACCGACCATGTGATGCTGTTCACGCAGACCAAGAAGCAGGCCCACCGCATGCACATCCTCCTGGGGCTCATGGGGCTGCAGGTGGGTGAGCTCCATGGCAACTTGTCACAGACGCAGCGGCTGGAGGCCCTTCGGTAACGTTTGGGGCAGGGACTAGGGCTCCCACCCTCCCTTCTTGGGCAGGGCAGATAAATAGGAAAAATAGGACCTGGGGGCTGAGTGTGGTGGCTCATGCCTATAATCCTAGCACTTTGGGAGGCTGAGGCAGGAGAATCGCTTGAGGCCAGGACTTCTAGACCAGCCTGGGCAACATACCAAGACCCTTCTCTAAAAAAATTTTTTTAATTAGCCGAGTGTGGTGGTACACACCTGTAGTCCCAGCTACTCAGGAGGCTTTCTTGGGAGGATCACTTGAGCCCAGGAGTTTGAGGCTGCAGTGATCTATGATGACACCACTATACTCTAGCCCAGGCAGCAGAGCCAGGTCCTGTCTCTAAACAAAACAAAGTATAGGACCCCAAGTGTTATTTCAGAGCAATAGCTGGGGACACAGTGTAATCCTTGCTTTAAATCTTTTTATCTAACACTGTGAGGTCACCACTCGCATGCATTTAGAACTCTGACTTTGTAGTCTCATGGGAGATGACCCTCGTGCCCTAGGACACTTGTCCCCAGGGTGGGAGCTGTTGAGGGGCCCCGGAGGACGCTGCCTGGGAAAGGGCACATGTCCTACTATGTTCTCTGCTGGCTGCAGCTCCCATGGAGCATTATCGGGCTAGGGTATCTGGAGGAACAACTCTGTTTGTGGCTATTTCTAGGCGATTTAAGGATGAACAGATTGACATCCTCGTGGCCACTGATGTCGCAGCCCGTGGACTTGACATTGAGGGGGTCAAAACGGTGAGCAGGCCCTGTCTTCCTTGAACTTTTGGTGGGAGTCTTTTTGTTTCCTCATGGCTCCCCCTTCCCCTGCCAAGTGGGACCGATGTTCAGTTTCGACCTTGCAGGTAATCAACTTCACGATGCCCAACACCATCAAGCATTACGTCCACCGTGTGGGGCGGACAGCACGTGCTGGCAGGGCCGGCCGCTCTGTCTCTCTGGTGGGGGAAGAGGAGCGGAAGATGCTGAAAGAGATTGTAAAAGCTGCCAAGGCCCCTGTGAAGGCCCGGATACTCCCCCAGGGTGAGTGGGCACCACTGCTCCAGCGCAGGGCAGTTCAGGTGGGCAGGGTGGGGGCAGAGCGCAGGGGCTGGCAGCAGATGCTTTGCAGCCAGGAGCCACATTTGAATCCCAGCTCTGCCCCTTTCTCGCTTAGTGACCCTGGGCAGGTCTCGCTTCCCCACTCCTAGCTTGGCTTCCTGTGTGTAAGAGGGAATAATGGTGGAATTGTAACCGTAGTGCCCCGCTAATAGGTGTTTTCCTATAGGAAACTGGGAAGAGAAGGTCTTGGGGCTAAATTCCCACTCACTCCTTTCCCTTCCTATTGGTGAGGGCGCTGAGGGTAGGGGGAGATCACCTCTCATTCTTCTTCTCATCTTTAGGGTCGCATAAAGCACATCTTCTTTTAAAATTATTTTTTTAAAGTAATAAAAATAATACATAGTCATTGTTGGAAATTAGTCAATAAAATAAGCAAAAATGTAATTCTTTGTCAGAGAGCTCACCACTGGTAACATTTAGATACACATCCTTTCAGACCTTCCTTTCATTCCTAGATCTTGCTTCATTTGCATTCTATTCCTTCACTCCGCACATGGTTATGGAGTCCTGCCCCATGCCTGGTGCTGTCTGTCCTGCTCTAGACGCTGGGCACAGCGGGGAACGAAGCAGGGCTGACGTGCAGGTGGGAGGAAGGGACAGCAAATAAGCTGATCGTGGAGGTGATTGAGAGTGACAGGAGGAGAGGCACCTACTTCAGGAAGGCTGTTCAGGAAAGGCCTCTGAGCAGCTGGCATTGGAGCTGAACCGGCAGTGAGAGCTGGGGCGGGGCGTGCTGAGCTGAGGGAGCCGGGCAGGGGCTGGGAGGTGGGAGCAAGCTGGGTGTGTGAGTACAAGGAAGGGCAGGGGGCTTAGGACATGGCGAGCAGGAGGACACAAGTCAGAGAGGTAGCAGGGGCCACTCTTAGTCTGGGGGTCTGTGAAGCACAGAAGTCGCACATTAAACACGATTTTCTATGTCAGTAAATACACAGCTACATTATTTTCATCAGATACATAGTATTAGTAGTCACCCTTATTTTTTTTTCTCTCTCTTTTTTTTTTAGACAGTCTCACTTTGTTGCCCAGGCTAGAGTGAGTGCTGTGGCATCGACCTAGTTCATAGCAACCTCAATCTCCTGGGCTCAAGCGATCCTGCTGCCTCAGCCTCCCGAGTAGCTGGGACTACAGGCATGCACCACCATGTCCGGCTAAATTTTTGTATATATATTTTTAGTTAGTCAATTAATTTCTTTCTATTTTTTAGTAGAGACAGGGTCTCACTCAGGCTGGTTTCGAACTCCTGACCTCGAGCAAACCCCCGCCTCAGCCTCCCAGAGTGCTAGGATTACAGGCGTGAGCCAGTGCGCCTGGCCAGTCACCTTTATTTTTAAATTCTTTTTATTCTCTTCCCTCTAGATGTTATCCTCAAATTCCGGGACAAGATTGAAAAAATGGAGAAAGATGTGTATGCAGTTTTGCAGCTGGAGGCGGAGGAAAAGGAGATGCAGCAGTCAGAAGCGCAGGTGAGGCTGCAAGGGGGCTCTCGTCCACACTGCAGCTCAGCAAGCAAACCGCAGCGGCCCTGTGTCTCTGTGGGTCCTGCCCTTCCGATATGTTTCCATCTTACCAGAGCCCCAGGCTTCGGCAGGCAGTGGCTTCCTGCTGCTGCCATGCCACGAACTAGCAGGGCCAGGCTTCCAACGGCCTCCTTTTGTCCCCCAGATCAATACAGCAAAGCGGCTCCTGGAGAAGGGGAAGGAGGCAGCAGACCCAGGGCCTGAGAGGAGCTGGTTCCAGACCAGAGAGGAGAGGAAGAAGGAGAAAAGTAAGTCAGGGACTTCCTCAAACAGCTAGCCATAGAGTTAACATAGGACTCGGCAGTTCCACTCCTGGGTCTATCCCAAAAAGAACTACAAACAGGGACTCAGACAGATACTTGTATGCCAGTGTTCTTTGCACTATTCATGATGGCCAAAAAGTGGAAACAAACTTACGTCCATCAGCAGATGAACAGATACACAAAATGTGCTGCACACACACACACACACACACACACACAAAATGGGGTGTTATTTGGCCATAAGCAAGTTCTGATACTTGCTACAAGGATGTGAAAGTATTAGGCTGAATGAGATAATCCAGACACAACAGGATAAACATTGTCTGATTCCACTTATATAAGGCCCCTAGATCAGCAAATGCACAGAGACAGAAGTAGAGGAGGTTGCCTAGGGCTGGAGGAAGGGGCCAGGGGAGTTATACAGAACTTCTGTTTGGGACGGTGACAGTGAATGGCCTCCAAAACAGTGAGTTTTGGAAACGGTGGTGGTGGTTGTGCAATATTGTGAATGTAATTAGTGCCACTGAATTATACACTTAAGAATGGGTAAAATGGCAAATTTTATATCATATATATTTCCCCACAATAAAAAATATTTTTAGGCTGGGTGTGGTGGCTCATGCCTATAATCCTAGTACTCTGGGAGGCTGAGGCGGGAGGATGGTTTAAGCTCAGGAGTTTGAGACCAGCCTGAGCAAGAGCGAGACCCCGTCTCTACTAAAAATAGAAAGAAATTAATTGGTCAAATAAAAATATATAGAAAAAATTAGCCAGGCATGGTGGCACATGCCTGTAGTCCCAGCTACTCGAGAGGCTGAGGCAGGAGGATCGCTTGAGCCCAGGAGTTTGAGGTTGCTGTGAGCTAGGCTGACGCCACGGCACTCTAGCCCTGGCAACAGAGTGAGACTCTGTCTCAAAAAAAATTTTTTTTTAAAGATCAGGAGATTAATTAAATATATATTCCCTGTCCAATGCTAGAAACCAAAAACAATAACAAATTCACGTTGTTCTACAATTTACTCTTTTATTTAATTTTGTAGGGTTGAAGATCATTTTCTATAGACACATATATAACTGCTTTTTTTTTTTAATGTCTGCATGGTCTTCCATCATGTGGGTAGATCACAATTTATTAACTAGTCCTTTGTTGAGGGACAATTCCAGTTTGCCATTATGAACAATGATGTAATGAATAACCTTGTGTATTTGCCTTTTTATAATTAAGCAAGTATATTTGGCTAGCAGGATAAATTCCTAAAAGTAGAGTTGTAGGTTAGAGGGCATATGTAATTTTGTTAGAGATTACACAATATCCCTAAATAGAGGTTGTATCACCAATTTCTGAAACTGTATTTATGAGACAAAAAGTAAGGGTGTTATATTAAATTTCTATATTAAAATAGAGTTATAACTATATGGTGGGAAGTTGTGGAGTAGTATTAAATATAAGTGACCAAATCCTCAGTTTTCATAACAGAAAGTCAATGGATCATGAAGGTCTTAAATGGATTAAGTGAGAAATAGTTGAAAAAACATGGGCCGGGCGCTGTGGCTCACGCCTGTAATCCTAGCTCTTGGGAGGCCGAGGTGGGCGGATTGCTCAAGGTCAGGAGTTCAAAACCAGCCTGAGCAAGAGCGAGACCCCGTCTCTACTATAAATAGAAAGAAATAATTGGCCAACTGATATATATATAAAAAAAAAAAATTAGCCGGCATGTGGCGCATGCCTGTAGTCCCAGCTACTCGGGAGGCTGAGGCAGAAGGATCACTGGAGCCCAGGAGTTTGAGGTTGCTGTGAGCTAGGCTGATGCCACGGCACTCACTCTAGCCTGGACAACAAAGCGAGACTCTGTCTCAAAAAAAAAAAAGAAAAAACATGTTAGTTATATGGAGGTAATCTTTGGAAGAGAAAGTGATTGTAGCTTTTCATTTTATGCTGTTACATACCAATTTAAAATATGTGCCCTTCTTGAATTTTAAAAAAGATATAAAATTGCCCCTGAAATCTGCTTTCTTCTTATCCCAGTTGCCAAGGCTCTGCAGGAGTTTGACTTGGCCTTAAGAGGAAAGAAGAAAAGGAAAAAGTTTATGAAGGATGCCAAGAAAAAGGGGGAGATGACAGTGAGTGGCATCTCCTTTGGAATTTGGGCTCACCCAGTGGGAGGGGTCGGAGTTGCTTGGTCTGTTCCTCACTCACAGCTCCCCCTTCCTACCAGGCGGAGGAAAGGTCCCAGTTTGAAATTCTCAAGGCGCAGATGTTTGCTGAGCGACTAGCCAAGAGGAATCGCAGAGCCAAGCGGGCCCGAGCGATGCCCGAGGAGGAGCCAGCAGGAGGCCCTGGTAGGTGGATGGGAGGCCTGGGCGAGCTAGTAGGGAGGTCTTCCCTGAAACCTGTGCTTATGGTCAGGGACAAAATTTCAGGGATGAAGACAATTGCCCACATTTTTTAATTAGTATGTACCAGTATGTATAGCTGTCTCTTTATTGGCCCAGAGGATAGGGTGACCCTGTGATTGGTTGGTGGGGAGACCTAGGATTTGAACTCTGGCCTTTCTGACTCTAGAGCCTAAGTCCTCACTAACTGCTACTTAGAGGAACCAGTGAAGGTAGAATGAAGTGCAGTCTTTGGATGCCAGAATATCTACCGAATATGGAATCATCACCCTGAGCTTAAGGGGATTTAGGAGCTTGGGCCAAAGAGGATCATATTTAACCCATACTCTCTGTGCACAGCCAAGAAGCAAAAGCAGAGGAAGAAATCTGTATTTGATGAAGAACTCACCAACACAAGCAAGAAGGCCCTGAAACAGTATCGAGCTGGGTAGGATTTTAAGTCATCACAAATTCTTGATGTTCTGATGGAAGCTATAAGTCTTCTCTCTTCTTCCCCACTCCCAATTCTCACATACCAATAGCTTTATAATATATAAATTCAAGGGCACCTGTCTGTCCCTCCAACCTACCTCCCCTGCAAGCCCATCTGGACCCCAGGGTGAGAACAGGAGAGAGCTGTTAAGGTACTGCTATTCCTGCCTTGGAGGTGAAATAGCACATTTTGGGGTTTAGAAATATTTTCCTTCAGGGGAGTGATAACTCCTACATCTGAAGGTCAGTCCTGGGGATCCCCAAAGAATCGTGGCTTGTTCTTGGGAATGTGCTGTCCTGCCCCACCCCAGGGGTGGGGACAGACTCATTTTCCCAAGTAGTCTTATTATACACATGAGAAGGGCCTCTTTCAACCTTGTTTTAAAGCTGAGCCCCAACTTCCAGCAACTCATGTTATCAGGTGGAAACACATAAAGGCTTAGAACTCAGGTCCCGGAAATGCTGCATCCCAGTGACGCTGCTGCTTCATGTGGGAGCTGGGTGGGGTGGGGTGAGACACCATTCATTCGTCCAAGAGCTTGCTCATTTCAGCATTTCATCTTCTCTCCCACAGCCCTTCCTTTGAGGAAAGGAAACAGTTGGGCTTGCCCCACCAGAGACGAGGAGGAAACTTTAAATCTAAATCCAGGTGATGTTGGCAGTTTTCGAGGGAGGGCCAGAGGTTGTGACTGGGATTAGAGAAGAAATTTTCATGGAAAAGGAGCTTCTCTTTCCTCTTTCTGGTCTTAACTCTGCTGATTTTGTTGATAGATACAAGAGGAGGAAGTAGCCAAGGATGCCTGAAGAAGTTCGAGGGGCAGCCCTTAAATCCCTTCCCTGTGGGAAGTCACCTGGCTTGGTCTGTCTTTTCTCCGTTTGTAAGAAAAAAAATTTTAAGGCTGTTATTTGTGCATTAAAAAAAATAGTTGGGAATGGTGATGGTATGTAGCTGTTTCTGTAACATGTCTATCCATCAGCCAAGGCTCCCTTCTTGCTGATTAGCTTTCATATAACTGATATACCAAATGGAAGCTGTATATTTTTGCGGGGCAGGAAAAAAAACAATCTAATTATGTATCTTCTTACTGTCTCTTCCTCAGTGACAAGGTCTTCCCCCAGTCTGCTAGCTTGGCACTGCCACATACAGTCGGAATGCATAACCTTTATGACTGTAGAGGGGCTGGGTGTGGAATGAGGAAATTCTTGTTAGAAGGTCTTTTCCAGCCTGGGCAACATAGTGAGACCCTCATCTCTTAAAGAACAAAAACACAAACAAAAAGTTCTCTTCTGTTGATGTTGCAGAACTAAGAGCTATCATTTACCAATCACCAACCGTGTGCCAGACATTCTGTGCGCTAAGCAGTGTCTCATTCAACTCACTGTACCCCTTTGTGGCAGGTAGTGTTATCCCCATTTTTCCACTAAAGAGAGAGGCTTGGGAAAGACCAGAGTTGCACAACTGGGAATTCAGGTTTTTGAAGCTATCATCTACTTGAACCTACACGCTGAGTCTTACCGTTATGCTGTGGAAGTGCTGCCGGAGAAACGGAAGCTCAGAGGGACAGGAGCCCTGACTCCATAAATTAGCCCTTGCTGTAAAAACCTGCTTTTACCCTGTAGAATGGTGATCCTCATCCTTTTCTGGTTCACAGGTCCCTTTGAGAATTAGCTGAAAGCTATGGAGCACGCCTTGAGAAAACTGTAGTTCATGTTATGTATAATTTCAGGGTATACATAGACTCTACCCTTGCAGCTTAAAAATTATAATAGGTATCCGGTAGCACATGACCTAGACACTAAAGAGTGTGTCCCACGCTATTCATTCAACATGTACTCCACTATCAAATTGGTACTAATTAATCAATACTTAAGTGCACATAAGGAAGTAACATTCATCGAGTGTGGGGCAGGTGGGAGGAGGTAGGAGGGTATAGGTAAATTCACACCTAATGGGTGTGGTCCGCACTGTCTGGGGCATGGGCGTGGTTGTAGCTCCTACTTGGGCAGTGCAAAGGCAACATGTGTAAACTAAACATTTGTACCCCTGTAATATTCTGAAAAAAACAACAACAGTGCTTTTTGAAGGCATGAAAAAAAAATTTTAAAAACAAAACAAAACAAAGCTATTTATTCAGGCTGCACCAACAGAGGGTCCAATTCAGAAAATAATAGCACAACTGGATGATAGAGTACAGTTCAGACTTAATGTCTTTATGCACTTTATAGAAAGTAGGCCATTAGGCTAAAAAAGCCAAGTGCAGAACTGTGTACTTTTCTTAACCACTTCAGTACGGCGCTCACCAGCCACGAAACCTCGCCCACAGCCGGCACTCAGTCTGCACGATGGTTTGTGCTGTGCCTTGACGACGAATCCGATTTGCTCTTGTGTGATGAGGAAAGCTTGAAAGCACTGAAAGCTTGTTTTACTTTACAGGCAGCTTTACTTGTAATGTAAATCGGAATAGGTAACATATACATATATGTTTTCATTACGTTATTTTTAAATGTTCACAATTTTATTTTGATAAATGAAAAATTAGAAAAGTCATATCATGGCTGTCGGCTAAAGTCGCTGTGCGCGTTCATCTGTGGCTGTCTGTAGTCGATGCTCGTACCGAAGTGTTAAAGACAGGGTCTCACCCTGTTGCCGAGGGCTCGAGTGCGGTGGCATGATCATAGCTCACAGCAACCTCAAATGCAGGCTCAAGGGATCCTCCTGCCCCAGCCTCCTGAGTAGCTGGGACTACAGGTACACATCACCACAGCCAACTAATTTTTTTATATGAATATTTTGTGAGGACAGGGTCTGGCTATGTTGCTCAGGTTGATCTCAAACTCCTGGGTTCGAGTGATCTTCCTTCCTTGGCCTCCCAAAGTGCTAGAATTACCAGCATGAGCAACTGCACCCAGCCTGTGTACTTTTTTTAAAGGGATATACATTGCATATGTGTGGATTATCTCTGGGAGGACTCAGGAAGCTAACAGGCTTGCCTCTGGGGAAGGAAAACATCAACTATACCCTTTTTTAAAAGTTGAAAAAAATTTTTTTACCACAAGTAGAAATTGACTCACCAGCTAAATAAATAAATAACCCATGCCACAAAAACAAAGAATGGTCTCACTGTAGGCGGCACCTGCTGTCCCCATCCCTGCTATCTTCAGCTGCCTGAGCTTCTAAAAGTTAAGGACATATTACTGAACACGTTCTTAAAAATAAATAAATAAAGTTGAGGACAGACGTGGATCATGACTTTCTCAATCATCATTTTTATTAATCGGCTTCATAGACTAAAGTGCATAGTAAAGACAAAAAAGGGGAAAACGGCATACATAGGAAAGGGACTTTTTTCTTGCCAACATTAGAAAGGACCTGAGATATCTAAGTGTCTGTTCTAAGGAACACTGGACTGAGGGAACGCATACGCAGGCAGCAGGCCAGGGGCTGGCTTCTGGCTTGGGTTTGGGGCCTGCAGAAGCTGCTGGCATGCTAAACCTGCCCAGGCAAAAGCTGCGAAAGGGTGTTGGGATGAAGGATCACACCTGGGATAGGTGCTGCTGGTACTGAATGCGAGTTGAACTCCATTCAGGGCCCAGGGGGACCAGCACTGCTATCGAACCTCTCCTATGGCAGGTAAAGAAACCTCCACCATCCCAAAGTGCAAGTCATAGGAAAGGGTACAGGGGTCACTCCTTAGTTAGCCTGGGCCTGCTGCATAAGCTCCCAGATGTGGGCAGTCCCAGCTTCCCCTCTTTCAGTATGTAACTGGGTCAGGGTTAGTTGGTAAAGTCTTTGTCTTGTTACATGCCTCCCAGAGGGAGGGTGCCTGAGGAGGAGGGCAGGAGGGATTTTTGTGCTCCTTGAAGGGATAAGCAGTTCATGAACAACTCCTCTGGGCCTCTGTTAGGATGAGAGTTAGCCTGCAAGTTAGGGCCTGGCGATTAGAATCAGTTTAACTAAGCTCACACTCTGTGCCTGGGGGTCACTGCAGAATATCTGACCAAGTGGGAACCCAGAGATAACACTAGGTGGCCCCAGGTGGAAACCCCAAACATGTTTCAAGGAGTCTATCCACTAACTTGCAGAAGAGAAAAAGGTGAGATCTGATAACTTTGCTCTCAGTTCTGGAGGTAAAGTGCTTACTCTAGCGCAGGGGTAAATCTAGAAACATGTGGGCAAGCCCTAAAAGTGGATCCTTAAATAGACGCTAATACTAAAGGACAATAAAAAACAAACTTCGGTTCCTTCATGAGGGAGCCGACCCCAGTCATATGGTGGCTGGGGCAAAAGGCAGCACTGTGCAGCATCTTCCTACATCATCCTCCGGATCTCCTCAAAGTTCATCATGTTGTTGGCCGTCTCAGACCAGGCAGGGTGCTGGGCTCCATCCATCTCAGAAGCAAGCTGGTTGCTTCTTTCCAGAGTATGATGTGAGCCGCCGATCACCTCCTTACAGTCTGGACATGTTCCCCTCTCCATGGCTCCCCCGCAATCGCTAATCACATAGATGTGGCCATTGGGGCACTTGAACCAGTGACCACGAGGATAACCCATTGCCTTGACAATCTGCACTCGTTCTTCCTCTGAGATGCCCAGGCCAGAGCAGGGAAGGGTGGCTTTCAGAGCTTCCATCTTTTTCTGCACAAGCTGTTCATCCTCTTGGGTGAACTTACATGTTTTCTCAAGGATATGCCGGATTCTAGAAACCTCTACTGCTAGGCTACCTGTCACCTTCCCCCGTGCCATCTTGCAGCGTGTCAGGAGGTTCACTAGGTATGTGAGTCTCTGGATTTCACTTTGGAGGTCACTCAGTTCCTGGCTGCTGAAGCTCAAGCGCTTCCTGGCTAGCCACACGTGGACCTGGTCGAGTCGAGTCCTCACTTTTTCTCGTTCTAAGATGTGCACCTTTTTCAGGGACTCTAACAGGTTGGCCAGGTGATCATAGAAGCTGATATAATTCTCAACTAGGCCCAGGTCCTTCACTGACAGATTTTTCTGGGCCAGCTTCTCCTTTAGCATTAGGAAGTCTTCAGGAAGCCGTTGGTGAAAGAGACTCTTCCTCTCCAGCAGGGCCTTCAGCTGTTCCTGGCTAGTTGTGATTTCCCTCACTGAGCCCTGGATCTTTTCCTTGATAATTTCAATCTCTTCCAGCCGCTGTTTTATGTTGGTTCCATACCTCAGGTTTTTGCGGATAGGCACCTGGCAGATAGGGCAGACTTTCAACTTGATGGCGATTGCTTCTTCCTGCTCGTTCATGTAGCGGTCTAGGGCTTGCACCTCAAAGATGTGGCTGCAGTCTTCCAGCTGCACAAAGCGGGCATCAGGTTCATCCTCAGAGCCAAAGAAGATTTGAGTGACCTCATCCACGTGGCAGACACGGCATTTCTTGGGGCATGGCTCCCCACAAAGACCAATGCAGGGGTGGCCGCAAGCCAGCAGCTTAGTACAAGGCACGTAGCATGGGGGTCTGTTGCAGGGTTCAAAGCAGAGTTTGGTGCACTGGTAGTGCTGGCAGTGCCAGGCACAGGGTTCCACGCAGGGGCTGCACAGCTCCCCACACTTCTTCTTGCATTGGCTGTGGACACAGCGGTTCTGACAGGTCCGCTGGCAGGGCGGGCACTCACCGATACATGGCTCCTGGCACTTGTGTGAGCAAATGAGCAGGCGCTTGCAGGGTTGTTGACAGCGCTCATGGAAGCGCCCTTCGAAGCAGCTGCTGCAGGAACCTGGGCAAGGATGCCCGCAGTCCAAGATGGCGCCACATTTGGTAGTGCACTTGACTGGCAAACCATATGCTACGTCTTCCACATTACCACATTTCACCTGTTGGCTATGTCCACACTTGAGTTTCACGGTGACCATTCTTGAACACAGCTGCACACAATCCTCACCACATGGGTGGCTGCAATTGTGCCCACATCTCAGAAACTTACGGCAAGGCTCTTGGCAGCAGAAATCTGATGCAGGCATGGAACAAGGAACCATTTGTTTATGGCCACACTGAGGAATGGTTTTGGGCACCTTCACCTGACAAGGCTGACACTCCTGGAAGCAAACAAGGGGACACCGGTGCCCATCCTGGCA